TCCCCTGAGCACAGGCCCCCCCAGAGCATCAGCCAAACAAGTCGGGTTTGCACCCTCATGCCTTGCTGGACTCTGGGCGCGTTTCGGCACCCTCTCCCCCAACCTCGTCAGGGCCACCGACAAGGGAGAGGGCGGCGGTGGCCGACGCGTCCCCGAGCTAAGACGCTCAAAGCGCCGCGGCTCAGAGAGCCGGGAAGACAGACAGACAGACGGACGGACGGACAGCCAGGCGGCGTGCAATGCCTGGCAAGCCAAGTGGGTGGTCACTGCATAAGGGAAACAGAATCCCGAGCAGAGCAACACGCACCACGACCACGACGACGCCGACGACGACGACGACGACGGAGACGAGGCGCGCTAACGATCCGCACCGAAGCACGGATTTGGGAAAGGGCCCACCCTGCAGGTTCGGTTAAACAGCACATCGTTGAGCGGTGCTGCAGCCTCCCCTGAGCACAGGCCCCCCCAGAGCATCAGCCAGACAAGTCGGAGGAGGAGGAGGAGGAGGAGGAGGAGGAGGCGGACGAGGAGGAGGAGGAGGAGGAGGTTCCTTGAAGCCTTCCTGGAAGGGCCCAGGACCTTCTGCAGGATTGGCAGCGGCATCCGAACCCTGCCTTCGCGGGCCCACCATATCCAGGCGTCCCGAGGTCGAGGGCAGGGCCCGGCATTCGGCGAGCACGTGGCGAAATCCGAGGGTCATCCGAATCGTGCCGGGGGGGTGTCGGGGGCTTTCCCAGGGCGGCGTGCCTGGGGAGAGTGCAGCGCCGCGCGAGAACTCTCACTCTCCCCCCCAATCGGGCTCCCATTGATCCAGGAGAACCGAACGGTCTCCCATTCGAGCACCGAGCGAGCTCCCATCGATCCAGGAGGACCGACGGTTGGTCGGGGAGTCGGGGTTCGGATGTCGCCACCCGTTCGGGAGGCCTTCTCAGAAACCAGGAGGGGGGGGGGTTCGCAGACGGCCCCGTAGCGAGCTCCCGTCAGTCCAGGGGGACCGACGGTCGGTGGGGGGTCTGGGCGCTGATGTCGCCACCCGTTCGGGAGGAAACGGCCGCGCGGGGGCGGGGGGAGCGGCGCGCGGGGTCCGCAGCTGCACGCGAGCGTGCCGTGCCGTGGCCGCGGGCTCCCGGGCGACGGGTCGTTGCGAGGCGGTGCCTGCGCAGGCCAGGGCGGGGCGGGGCGAGCGTGCCAGGGTGGTCCTCCTCGCCCCCCCTCCTCCTCCTCCTCCTCCTCCTCCTCCTCCTCCTCCTCCTCCTCCTCCTCCTCCTCCTCGTTCGTTCGTTCGTTCGTATCGTATCGTAATTTTCGTTCGTTTCTGTTCGTGTCGTTCGTGAAGCCTTAGGGGCAGAGTCTGAGTCCCAAACAGCTGGAGCAGAGAGCAGCGATAGATAAAGAAGAAAAACAGAGAGGCAGCGATCGCGCAGAGGCAAGCGCGTTCTCCACGTGCAACTCATGATCCCCCCCCGCCAATAAAGGCCGCAAACCCTCCGCTATTGGTGATTTGACATAGCCCTGTCCCTCGAGTTCGGCGGTCGGAGTCACCGAGGGCGCCCCACCGTCTGAAGGGTTTAGTCGGGTAGCTTGCAGAAGACGCCTTAGACAACTGCGCTTGGACCCGAGATGAAAAAAAAAAAAAAAAAAAAAAAAAAAAAAAAAAAAAAAACACCAAAACGGTGGGGGAGGGGAAGCCAGTCTTAGCTGGCGCTGTCATCCTTCTCATAAGTACTTCGAAGTAGAACAACGAGAAAAGCCAGGGGCCCCCTTCCTTATGATACTGCGAGTTAAAGTGCCGCGCGCACGACAGCATAAAAACTCCCCCCAAGTTACGGCAAGAGTAGGTGCTGCGCACACCCTTGAGGGGCACAAAAAGCAAGGAACCCACGGACCATTCCCTCGAAAAAGGGCCCAAGACCTCAAGAGGTACTGCGAGTGTTAAGTGCCGCGCACACCATCCGTGGCGGTCTGAGTGGAGAAGAGTGCCGTGCGAGCGTACTCCAGCCCGTGCTGGAGTATAAAATATGGGTCCAGGGGGACAGATAAAGGGGCAACATCTTCGGGCAGGTCCAATGGTGGCACACCAGAAACGTTGAAACCACGGGTGGCATCCTCGAACAAACATTCAGCCATAAAACGGCAAAATACCGACGGATACGTTTTGGCCCTGGAGGTGTGCCATTCTCCATTGTCACCTCTCCCCTCCAGGACACTCGCGTGGACGCTGTGAGTGCATCTCCCCCGATATGCCAGCTCCCTCAGAACCCTGGTCATGGACGGTGTGTGGACAGCCAGGAGTCCCGTGGGTTTTTTGGCAGACCGTTGAAACATGCACTGATCGACCCTGTGGGGGATCACTCCAGGCTGGGTGCGTAACCGGGTTACGATTGGGAGCCGCCAACTCGAGGGGACGTCTTCTCTGTGTTCAGTTTCAGCAGGGCGCTCCATGAGAGCGGGGATGCCACTCTTCCAGGCGCACACTAGGAACTCTATCATAGTCCTCAACAGCCCGTTTGCAGTGTCCACTCGTGTCCTTTCTCTGGGGGTTAAATATGCCAAGCCCCACGGCTCGGCTGCAGCACGACCTGGTCTGGAGCAAGGCCTTCCATCCTGAGCTGGGTTGTGGCGAGCAGCACTCCAGGTTTCGCACGGGGGGGCCCCAAGCACTGCGGCCACCCAGCCGTCATTCAGTAACCCTAACCAAAACGCAATCGTCTTCTGATCTGTCAAATCGCCAAACGTGGGGGAGTGAGCGATGTCCACAGACAAAACCACCAGGGGGGATGGGTGCTGCTCGATCAACTTCTCTATCCAGAATTGCACATCCCCCTCTCGCCTCTGTCCCGAGAATAAAAGCAGAATGTACCGAAAGGGACGCACAGGGGGCGGGGACGGAATAAAATGGATGGGGGGCGGCGGCGGTGGGTCAACAGCAGGGGCCAGGGGTTCAGCCACCACCGTGTCAGCTTGGACAATCCTCGGGCCCCTCGGGGCCCTGCCGCCTTCCTGGGAGGGAGATGTGCAAAGTCGTCAGCGAGGCCTTTGGCACGGTTCGTTTGTTGCTCCTTTTTGCGACAATCGCGGGCCTCGGACACTTCCTCCACAGAATATCGGACGCCTGCGGCAATCAATCCCCTTAGGCAGGGCTTCGCACGCGCAAGGTGCTTGTAGAGGCGCCCGTTGGGCCGAAAGTCCCACATACATATGCCACAATCCGTGCCAACGGCCATGTAAGCTGGTGTGTTTCCTTGAGGATGGCACTTCCTTCGATGAGACTTCAAATGCCTGGGTGAGACGCAAACTTGTCCGCACTCGTAGCAGAGGTACATCCGCTCAACTTCCTCCTCTGGCTCCTGCATGCTGGTGTCTCTAACGTGCTGGGCGACTCTCTCCTCCCACATGTGCTGCTGGCGTCGGTCTGACCACCATGTTCTGGATTTTGCGATGGTAGCCGTCAGCAGGGATCGAAAACGGTGGGTATCCAAACGCACTGCCGTCACCCAGTCGTCTAAGGCACCCTGCCCAGGAACCTCGGAAGGGGTCACAAACTTGGAAAGCCAATCAAAACTCTGGGAGAGGGCCAAGACCCAACCATCCCGCGAAAGCAAACTAGCATCCAGGAGGTACCTCAAGAAGGGGGGTGCCTTAGTCAGAAGTCGAACAACGTAACGAAGTCTGTTCATGTGTACCACAGCTTCCCAGGGCACGCGGTCCACGAGGGCCAGCACTTTTTCGTGCGAAACCTGAAACTCGCTGGAGTTCGCAGCAGGAAAGCCTAACGCACATCTGTATATGAACTCGTGAAAAATGCGGGCTTTTTTTTTTTTGTTTGATTTGCCACCGTGAAGGGTCTCCATAGGGCACGCGCATAAAACCCCTTGCTCGCACCGAAGGCTTCAGAATACTAGACCTTGGCTCGTAGAGACAGGGCCTCACGTGGAGCAGGTGTTTTTTTGATGGGTCGGCAGGCAACCTTGGCTTGTATGCTCCTTGCTGTGAGCTCGAACCCTTCGTTGCGTGCGTCGGTCAGTGCAACGCCTAAACATTTCTGGGATCGCGCAACCTTCACCTTGACCCCCCAATGAGTGGATGAAATGTGGGGCTCATCCATGTCATGTAAATCTCGGTGCGCCTTCTGCGCACCCTTTCCCCTCAAAGACAACATTACCTTGGTTTCGTTGGAATTCAACTTGAGACCGTGTCGCGCACATACGCTGTATACTATGTCAACGAGCAAGGCCAGAGTGGGAATCAATTCGCTTGCTCCTTGCGAGGTGACCGAGGGGGTGAGGTCATCCACACATGAGACTGAAATAATGGGGGCAGGGTCGGGGCCCCCCTGCGAAAAGATCTTGGTCCCCGCACGCGGTTTCCACTCCAGTCCCATGGCGCTCGCTTC